TATATAACACAGGTGTCAAACATACGGCCCGGGGGCCAGGTCCGGCCCTCCAACACCTTGAATGTGGCTCTTGGGTGATTTTCTACTAAAATATTTGAATGATATTTTCTGTTAAAATGGTGTTAATTTTCTGTGGTGTTTATCACAGCAGCGTCTCCAGCGTCTCTGTACGTGGCCCCTCCCACCAGAGCAGCACAAATGAAGACTTGTCTCTTTCCAAACGCTCTTAAAGGACGATGGTTTTGACTGTTGACCGTGACACCCTCATCAGAAAAATGTCCAACATGAGAAAAGTGGAGCCGAGTGCAGGATTTTACAACAAAAATGGACTTATTCTGTTTACAGACAAGTTCATGTTCAAACTTTGAGTTGAAATTGTATTTTTCTTAAAGTTTCAGGTTGTTCATAATATTATAATATTTAGTAAAAGAAAGAGTTCATCAGTTAAAAAAGATTTGTGTAATAGATTTGTGTTTCTCTGCACAAATATTTGAACTTCTTGTTATTTTGGGGTTTATATGACATGAGTTTTCTGATCCGGCCCCCGGAACAAAATGACTTTGACACGTCTGGTAAATTACTGCCTCATATGATCATTTTCCCCAAATATCAGATTTTTTCCTGTTACTAAAATTTAATTTGACCCTGAGAGGGTTAATAGTTTTGACTGTGACACACAAGTGTGCACGGTCCATACGACGTGTGTTGTGTTGACGTGTTTGTGTTGACGTGTTTGTGTTGACGTGTTTGTGTTGACGTGTTTGTGTTTGTGTTGACGTGTTTGTGTTGACGTGTTTGTGTTGACGTGTTTGTGTTGACGTGTTTGTGTTGACGTGTTTGTGTTTGTGTTGACGTGTTTGTGTTGACGTGTTTGTGTTTGTGTTGACGTGTTTGTGTTGACGTGTTTGTGTTGACGTGTTTGTGTTGACGTGTTTGTGTTTGTGTTGACGTGTTTGTGTTGACGTGTGTGTTGTGTTTGTGTTGACGTGTTTGTGTTGACGTGTGTTTGTGTTGACGTGTTTGTGTTGACGTGTTTGTGTTGACGTGTTTGTGTTGACGTGTTTGTGTTGTGTTTGTGTTTGTGTTGACGTGTTTGTGTTGACTGTGTTGTGTTTGTGTTGACGTGTTTGTGTTGACGTGTTTGTGTTGACGTGTTTGTGTTGACGTGTTTGTGTTGACGTGTTTGTGTTGACGTGTTTGTGTTGACGTGTTTGTGTTTGTGTTGACGTGTTTGACGTGTTTGTGTTGACGTGTTTGTGTTGACGTGTTTGTGTTGACGTGTTGTGTTGACGTGTTTGTGTTGACGTGTTTGTGTTGACGTGTTTGTGTTGACGTGTTTGTGTTGACGTGTTTGTGTTGACGTGTTTGTGTTGACGTGTTTGTGTTGACGTGTTCGTGTTTGTGTTGACGTGTTTGTGTTGACGTGTTTGTGTTGACGTGTTTGTGTTGACGTGTTTGTGTGTTGTGTTTGTGTTGACGTGTTTGTGTTGACGTGTTTGTTTGTGTTTGTGTTTGTGTTGACGTGTTTGTGTTGACGTGTTTGTGTTGACGTGTTTGTGTTGTTTGTTTGTGTTGACGTTGTGTTTGTGTTGACGTGTTTGTGTTGACGTGTTTGTGTTTGACGTGTTTGTGTTTGTGTTGACGTGTTTGTGTTGACGTGTTGACGTGTTTGTGTTGACGTGTTTGTGTTGACGTGTTTGTGTTGACGTGTTTGTGTTTGTGTTGACGTGTTCGTGTTTGTGTTGACGTGTTTGTGTTTGTGTTGACGTGTTTGTGTTGACGTGTTTGTGTTGACGTGTTTGTGTTTGTGTTTGTGTTTGTGTTGACGTGTTTGTGTTGACGTGTTTGTGTTTGTGTTGACGTGTTTGTGTTGACGTGTTTGTGTTGACGTGTTTGTGTTGACGTGTTCGTGTTTGTGTTGACGTGTTTGTGTTGACGTGTTCGTGTTTGTGTTGACGTGTTTGTGTTGACGTTGTGTTTGTGTTGACGTGTTTGTGTTTGTGTTTGTGTTGACTGTTTGTGTTGACGTGTTTGTGTTGACGTGTTTGTGTTGACGTGTTTGTGTTGACGTGTTTGTGTTGACGTGTTTGTGTTTGTGTTGATGTTTGTGTTAGTGTAGCTCAGAATGCGTCATGTGGCGTCTGCACCAGTGCTGCCCTCTAGTGTCTCTGTGAGTTTGTGCGTCTGTTTGTGGATTTGACTAAAACAAAATCTCAAAAAAACATCAGAGGAAAATCTGTGAATTTGTAGAATTAATGATCCATAAATGTGAATCACATTTTACAAACAGAATTTTCAGTTTTACAAATGTGTGATTTGTTTTGTTTTGTTTGGTTGTTTTTGCAAATGAAAAAATATAAATGTTCAAATCCAAATTTATTTGTAAAATCAAAATACAAGAGACAAATATTAAATTTACATTTGTGGATCAAACACAAAAACAAACAAACGACAAAATGTTTGTGTCAAACTCTGAGTTTATGAAAATTCGTGAAACAAAATGAACCAAAAGTTCAGACGCAGAAACTGGAACAAGTTTAAAAGAAACACGAAAAACTGGTTTAAAATAACCCCAGAACTAAACCAGGACTAAACCAGGACTAAACCAAAACCAGGTTAAACCAGGTCTAAACCAGGACTAAACCAGAACTAAACCAGGACTAAACCAGGACTAAACCAGGTCTAAACCAGGACTAAACCAGGACTAAACCAGAACTAAACCAGGACTAAACCAGAACTAAACCAGGACTAAACCAGGTCTAAACCAGGACTAAACCAGGAACCAGAACTAAACCAGGACTAAACCAAACAAAACAGGACTAAACCAGAACTAAACCAGGACTAAACCAGGTCTAAACCAGGACTAAACCAGGACTAAACCAGAACTAAACCAGGACTAAACCAGAACAAACCAGGACTAAACCAGGACTAAACCAGGACTAAACCAGGTCTAAACCAGGACTAAACCAGGTCTAAACCAGAAACTAAACCAACTAAACCAGGTTAAACCAGGTCTAAACCAAACCAGGACTAAACCAGGACTAAACCAGAACTAAACCAGGACTAAACCAGAACTAAACCAGGACTAAACCAGGTCTAAACCAGGACTAAACCAGGACTAAACCAGAACTAAACCAGAACTAAACCAGGTCTAAACAGGACTAAACCAGAACTAACCAGGACTAAACCAGGACTAAACCAGAACTAAACCAGGACTAAACCAGAACTAAACCAGGACTAAACCAGGACTAAACCAGAACTAAACCAGGTCTAAACCAGGACTAAACCAGGTCTAAACCAGGAACTAAACCAAACTAAACCAGAACTAAACCAGGACTAAACCAGAACTAAACCAGACTCTAAACCAGAACTAAACCAGAACTAAACCAGGACTAAACCAACTAAACCAGGACTAAAAAACTAAACCAGGACTAAACCAGGACTAAACCAGGTCTAAACCAGGACTAAACCAGGACTAAACCAGGTCTAAACCAGGACTAAACCAGAACTAAACCAGGACTAAACCAGGACTAAACCAGAACTAAACCAGAACTAAACCAGGACTAAACCAGGAACTAAACCAGGACTAAACCAGAACTAAACCAGAACTAAACCAGAACTAAACCAGGACTAAACCAGAACTAAACCAGGTCTAAACCAGGACTAAACCAGAACTAAACCAGGACTAAACCAGGAACTAAACCAGGACTAAACCAGAACTAAACCAGGAACTAAACCAGAACTAAACCAGGACTAAACCAGGACTAAACCAGAACTAAACCAGGACTAAACCAGGTCTAAACCAGGACTAAACCAGGACTGGACTAAACCAGGACTAAACCAGGACTAAACCAGAACTAAACCAGGACTAAACCAGGACTAAACCAGGACTAAACCAGGACTAAACCAGGACTAAACCAGGACTAAACCAGAACTAAACCAGGACTAAACCAGGTCTAAACCAAGACTAAACCAGGACTAAACCAGGACTAAACCAGGAACTAAACCAGGACTAAACCAGGTCTAAACCAGGACTAAACCAGGACTAAACCAGGACTAAACCAGGACTAAACCAGACTAAACCAGGACTAAACCAGGTCTAAACCAGGACTAAACCAGGACTAAACCAGGACTAAACCAGGACTAAACCAGAACTAAACCAGGACTAAACCAGGTCTAAACAGGACTAAACCAGAACTAAACCAGGACTAAACCAGGTCTAAACTAGGACTAAACCAGAACTAAACCAGGTCTAAACCAGGACTAAACCAGAACTAAACCAGGACTAACCAGGTCTAAACCAGGACTAAACCAGACTAAACCAGGTCTAAACAGACAAACCAGAACTAAACCAGGTCTAAACCAGGACTAAACCAGAACTAAACCAGGACTAAACCAGGTCTAAACCAGGTCTAAACTAGGACTAAACCAGAACTAAACCAGGTCTAAACCAGGTCTAGACCTGGTCTGTGTGTGTGGGAGTAGAACCCTCAGTCTGACCTGTTTTGCTGTGAGGTCTCCAGGAGGGGGCAGCAGAGAGACGAGCCACAGAACCGAGCAGCAGGACGAGCCAGGTCAGGGGAGCGGCGAGCAACATGGTCTCTGGTCTTTGGTCTCCGGTCTCCGGTCTTTGGACTCTGGACTCTGGACTCTGGTCCCTGGTCTCCGGTCTCCGGTCTCCGGTCTCCGGTCTCCGGTCTCCGGTCTCCGGACTCTGGACTCTGGTCTCTGGTCCCTGGTCTCTGGTCTCTGGTCTCTGGTCTCTGGACTCTGGTCTCTGGTCTCTGGTCTCTGGTCTCTGGTCTGGTCTCTGGTCTCTGGTCTCTGGTCTCTGGTCTCTGGTCTCTGGTCTCTGGTCTCTGGTCTCTGGTCTCTGGTCTCTGGTCTCTGGTCTCTGGTCTCTGGACTCTGGTCTCTGGTCTCTGGTCTCTGGTCTCTGGTCTCTGGTCTCTGGTCTCTGGTCTCTGGTCTCTGGTCTCTGGTCTCTGGTCTCTGGTCTCTGGTCTCTGGTCTCTGGTCTCTGGTCTCTGGTCTCTGGTCTGGATTTACAGGAAACCCAAAAGTTTATTGCCACATACTTTTTCCTTTGAGGAAGTGACGGGAAAAAAGAGGAAGAAGTTTTAACTTTAACTTTGAACAAAATTTAACCAAAAAACTGTCAAAGTCTCAAAGTCTGAAACTCTGACCGGAACCAGTTTAGTTTTACTCAAGTAACTGAGAAGTACTCACCTCCACACACCGGGACACGAGCCTCAGAGTCCGGGGACAGAGCAGCGGCGGGACTCGGGGGACTCGGGGGACTCGGGGGGACTCGGGGGACTCGGGGGACAGGTGTCTCTCTGCTCTGGACACTTGACGCTCCGGTGCGTAAACAGGAAGTATGGAGAGGTCATGTGACTTGAGGGGCGGGGCTTGGATACACCTGACGCTGTAAAGACGCGCGCGTGCAGAGGACCCGGCGTCCTGCTCCGGCTGCAGGTCCGGGTCCGTCAACAAAACCAAACGGGCTCAAAATAAACCAAATATTCATCAGTGTGATACCGAAATCCAACAATAAAACTGGTCCAGAACAAAAAACTGAATGTATTTGTTTGGAGGAAGAGTCACCGTCTCAAAAAAACATGTAGAAGAACAGTAGAGCTTTATTTAATTTATGACATTATTTAGTTTTGTTTTTTGTTTAGTTTTGGTTTAATTCCTTCTGCTCTCCTGTGTGATCATTTGTTCAGACTCTGACCTGAGTTCTGCAGAAAACTCAGGTCACCAAAAAAACCTGCAGCACAAATCTGCAGGAAGAACATGATACTGCACAGGCGACCAGTTATTTATTTATGTATTTATGTATGTATGTATGTATGTATTTATTTATTTATTTATGTATTTATTTTATTTATTTTATTTAGAGTTAGTTTTTGTTTGACTGAATGACCTGAGCTCAGACACAAACTCACGGGTTTGAAAAGTGGATGAAGAAAAACACAAACATGTTCAAACCTCCAACACTTCAACAACAACAACTTAAACCAACTACACACGAGTGTTAAACTAAACTAAACAACAGCGCAGGTCCAAGAGCGTCAGAACAACTCTCACAGTGTTAATTTAAAGTCTTGTGTCGTGAGGTAAAACTCTGGTAAAGTTGAATTTGACACTGATCAAGATTTTATTTTTATTTTACACCAGTGTGGAGTGAAACACTGGTGACTCTGTAGTGTTACTTTATGGACTTCTTCATGTTAAACTCTTCAACAGTCAGTGTCAGGAGTAACAGATTACATGGACCAGAGTAATCAGAGTACAAATGATGAGTAACTGTATTCAGTTACAGTTACTGTTTCAGTGAGTGGTAATTGGATTACAGTTACTTTGTTGAAATAAATGGATTAAACACAGAGAACTAAACCAGGACTAAACCAGGACTAAACCAGAACTAAACCAGGATTGACCAGGACTAAATCCTGCTGTGTGGACGTGTTTCTTCGTTTTCTATCAATAATATTTTTAATTTGGTTCAGTAAAGTTTGGACTTTTTATTTTCTTTTATCAGATAAAACTTCTTATGTGAAGATTTCCTCGTCTTTGTTTCTCTACAGCAAATCAAGTAATCCAAAGTAATCAGATTACATTACTCACTTTAAGTAATTTAATGGATTACGTTACAAACTACATTCTGGTGTGTGTAATTTGTAATCTGTAGGGGATTACATTTGAAAAGTAAACTTCCCAACTCTGTGGACAGTGAGTCTTGGCTGGACGGTGTCAGGGCTGCGCTCGTTTACTTTAATCCCTTTTCTCTCTTTTTTTCATTTTTTTTTAAACACTTTTAGTCTCTGAACTGTTTTTATTTTCACGTCATCGTTTCTTTCCATCATCAGTGAAGAAACTTAGTTTAGAAGAAATGTTTAATAAATCTGTTTTCTGATTTACACAAACAAATATTTGACAAAATTCAGTGAAATGACAAAAGGAAAAACAGCGACGACATAAATAATCAAGATAAAAAGTCTGAGAGTCAAACATTTGAACAGTTTAACTCTGTGGAGAGTTTTTATACGACAACTTAGACTCTGGCGCCTCCTGCTGGACTCTGGTGTCACTGACCACCAAAACACTCAATCTATCAAAAATCTGGAATAATAAAGACAAACTGGTCTAAAGCAGGTCTGGACCAGGTCTGGACCAGGTCTGGACCAGGTCTGGAGCAGGTCTGGACCAGGTCTGGAGCAGGTCTGGACCAGGTCTGGAGCAGGTTTATCTGGTGCAGGACAGATCCAGGTCTATATCGGGACACACAGATATTTTAAGTGCTTTGTGAAGAGGAATGTTCTGCTCTTAACATTCTGTACGTCACCATCTGCTCTGGACCTGGACCTGCTCTGGACCTGGACCTGGTCTGGACCTGGACCTGGTCTGGACCTGGACCTGGTCTGGACCTGGTCTGGACCTGGACCTGGTCTGGACCTGGTCTGGGTGGAGAGGGAGGCGTTCAGAAACAAAAGGCCTGCACCAGTGTTGTTCAGATTTTCAGATAAAATAAATATAACATCATTTAAATATAATTAATATTATATAATAAATATAATAAACATAATAAATATAATTTTTATGTTTGGTGATTTTTCTTTGAACCGAGGCACCTGTTTCAATGACGTCACAAGGGGCGGTGCTTTGAGCTCGTCTCCTCGTCTCCTCGCTCCTCTCCTCACACGTTCGGTCTCCTCCTCGTCTCCTCCGTCCTCACCTCCTTCTGTCTCCTTTCTCTTTGTCTTCTGCCCTGTCTCCTTCTCTCCTCGTCTCCTCGTCTCCTCCTGTCCTCGTCTCCTCCTCTCTCGTCTTTTCTCTCTTCTCTTCTCCTTCTCTTCCTTTTCTCCTCGTCGGAGTCGCTCGGATGTCGTCCCGGTGCCCGCGCTGCGACAAAACCGTGTATTTCGGTAAGAACCAAACCACAGACGAACGGGGACAGAACCGGGAGATTACCGGGATTAAGCATCGCGAGAGTTTGGTTCAGGACGAGACCTGCTCATCTGGATTAAACTCTGAGATTTTTATGCAGATTTGACTCTGGATTTTGTAAAGTTTTTAAAATTCCGTTTCTGGCTCATTTACACCGGACTCACTTGGACTCACACCGGACTCACTCCGGACTCACACCGGACTCACTCTGGACTCACACCGGACTCACACCGGACTCACTCTGGACTCACTCTGGATTCACTCTGGACTCACACCGGACTCACACCGGACTCACTCTGGACTCACACCGGACTCACACCGGACTCACACCGGACGCACTCCGGACTCACTCCGGACTCACTCCGGACTCACTTCGGACTCACTCCGGACTCACTCCGGACTCACACCGGACTCACTCTGGACTCACTCCGGACTCACACCGGACTCACTCTGGACTCACTCTGGACTCACACCGGACTCACTCTGGACTCACACCGGACTCACTCTGGACTCACTCTGGACTCACTCCGGACTCACTCTGGACTCACACCGGACTCACACCGGACTCACTCTGGACTCACACCTGACTCACTCCGGACTCACTCCGGACTCACTCCGGACTCACTCTGGATTCACTCCGGATTCACTCTGGACTCACTCCGGACTCACACCGGACTCACTCCGGACTCACTCCGGACTCACTCCGGACTCACTCTGGATTCACTCTGGATTCACTCTGGACTCACTCTGGACTCACACCGGACTCACTCCGGACTCACTCCGGACTCACACCGGACTCACTCCGGACTCACTCCGGACTCACACCGGACTCACTCTGGACTCACACGGACTCACCGGACTCACTCCGGACTCACACCGGACTCACTCCGGACTCACTCCGGACTCACACTCCGGACTCACTCCGGACTCACTCCGGACTCACACCGGACTCACTCTGGACTCACACCGGACTCACTCCGGACTCACTCCGGACTCACACCGGACTCACTCCGGACTCACACCGGACTCACTCCGGACTCACTCTGGACTCACTCTGGACTCACACCGGACTCACTCCGGACTCACTCTGGACTCACACCGGACTCACTCCGGACTCACTCTGGACTCACTCAGGACTCACACCGGACTCACTCCGGACTCACTCCGGACTCACACCGGACTCACTCCGGACTCACTCTGGACTCACACCGGACTCACTCCGGACTCACTCCGGACTCACACCGGACTCACTCCGGACTCACTCCGGACTCACACCGGACTCACTCTGGACTCACTCCGGACTCACACCGGACTCACACCGGACTCACTCCGGACTCACTCTGGACTCACTCTGGACTCACACCGGACTCACTCCGGACTCACTCTGGATTCACTCTGGACTCACACACAAACACACAGGAGGGCACCTGACACACAGGAGGGCACCTGACACACAGGAGGGCACCTGACACACGGGGAGGGTGTCTGACACACTGGGAGGGCACCTGACACACAGGAGGGTGTCTGACATTCTTCTCTCTCTGCAGCGGAGAAGGTCTCGTCTCTGGGGAAGGACTGGCACAAGTTCTGTCTGAAATGTGAACGCTGCAACAAAACCCTGAACCCAGGAGGACACGCTGAGGTCTGGACCAGGATCTCAACCGGTTTACAGGGTCTCAGAGGGTTTATGTTCGGGCAGAGCAGAGGGTCAGAGAAGAAGGTCAGAGAGTCAGAAGGTCAGAGGAGGAGTAGGTCAGAGGAGCAGAGGGTCAGAGGAGCAGAAGGGCAGAAGGTCAGAGTGTTACATGTTCTTGTGTCTTGCAGCACGATGGACGTCCGTTCTGTCACAAACCGTGTTACGCCGCCATGTTTGGGCCCAAAGGTCAGACTCCTCCTCATCTCCTCCCTCCTAGTCTCCTTGTCTCTTCCCCCTAGTCTCCTTGTCTCCTTGTGTCCTCAGGAGTGAACATCGGGGGGGCGGGATCGTACGTTTACGAAGCTCCAGCCAACGACTCTGCTGTTACCACGGAGACGGAGAGTAAACAAGACGAGGAGAAGAAAACGAAAGAGAGAGGACCAGTGAAGGGTGAGACCAGGACTGAACCAGAACTGAACCAGAACTGAACCAGAACTGAACCAGAACTGAACCAGGACTGAACCAGGACTGGAACTGAACCAGGACTGAACCAGGACTGACAGGACTGAACCAGGACTGAACCAGAACTGAACCAGGACTGAACCAGGTCTTTGTTGTGTTTTCCAGCTGCCAGTTTCTCCTCGTTCTCTGGACCAAATGTGTGTCCACGCTGCAACAAGACCGTCTACTTTGGTTTGTCTCACATGTTCCTCACATGTTCTTCACAAGTTCATCACATGTTCCTCACAAGTTCCTCACATGTTCTTCACAAGTTCCTCACATGTTCTTCACATGTTCTTCACATGTTCTTCACATGTTCCTCACATGTTCCTCACATGTTCTTCACATGTTCCTCACATGTTCTTCACATGTTCTTCACATGTTCCTCACATGTTCCTCACATGTTCTTCACATGTTCTTCACATGTTCCTCACATGTTCCTCACATGTTCTTCACATGTTCTTCACATGTTCCTCACATGTTCCTCACATGTTCTTCACATGTTCCTCACATGTTCTTCACATGTTCCTCACATGTTCTTCACATGTTCCTCACATGTTCCTCACATGTTCTTCACATGTTCCTCACATGTTCCTCACATGTTCCTCACATGTTCTTCACATGTTCTTCACATGTTCCTCACATGTTCCTCACATGTTCTTCACATGTTCTTCACATGTTCACATGTTCTTCACATGTTCCTCACATGTTCTTCACATGTTCCTCACATGTTCTTCACATGTTCCTCACATGTTCTTCACATGTTCCTCACATGTTCCTCACATGTTCTTCACATGTTCTTCACATGTTCCTCACATGTTCTTCACATGTTCTTCACATGTTCTTCACATGTTCCTCACATGTTCTTCACATGTTCCTCACATGTTCTTCACATGTTCTTCACATGTTCTTCACATGTTTTTCACATGTTCCTCACATGTTCCTCACATGTTCTTCACATGTTCCTCACATGTTTTTCACATGTTCTTCACATGTTCCTCACATGTTCCTCACATGTTCTTCATGTTCCTTTCACATGTTTCTCACATGTTCTTCACATGTTCCTCACATGTTCTTCACATGTTCCTCACATGTTCTTCACATGTTCCTCACATGTTCCTCACATGTTCTTCACATGTTCTTCACATGTTCCTCACATGTTCTTCACATGTTCTCACATGTTCTTCACATGTTCCTCACATGTTCTTCACATGTTCTCTCACATGTTCCTCACATGTTCCTCACACTCTGAGGTTCTGGAGTGGACCCAGTGGAGGTGTGAGTGCTTGTGGTCCTGATGGGGACGTGTGACATGAGGATGCAGTTTCCATGACGACCGATTCTGCGTCTCCACGGTAACCGTCTCCTGTCTCCACAGCCGAGAAAGTGTCGTCGCTCGGGAGGAACTGGCACCGTCCCTGCCTGACGTGTGAGCGCTGCGGCAAGACGCTGACGCCCGGAGGACACGCCGAGGTCTGGACCGGGGTCTGGACCGGGTCTGGACTGGGGTCTGACGGGGTCTGGACCGGGGTCTGGACCGGGTCTGGACTGGGGTCTGGACCGGGTCTGGACTGGGGTCTGGACCGGGGTCTGGACCGGGTCAGGACCGGGGTCTGGACCGGGGTCTGACGGGATCTGGACTGGGATCTGGACCGGGGTCTGGACCGGGGTCTGGACCGGGGTCTAACGGGGTCTGGACCGAGGTCTGGACCGGGGTCTGGACCGGGGTCTGGACCGGGGTCTGAGCAGTTTTAACGAGGATCTAAACCGGTCTTGTGTGGTCTTCTCTGGTCTTGCAGCACGATGAGCGGCCGTACTGTCACAAACCGTGTTACGCCCTCATGTTCGGGCCCAGAGGTCAGATACTCGAGTAAAAGTACTGCTCACGAGTATCCAAGTATTCTCTGAAAGTAAAAGTACTTTTTGTTCTTCAGGAGTGAACACGGGCGGAGTCGAGAGCTACATCTACAACGACCCCCAGACCGGACCAGGACTGAACCAGGACTAAACCAGGACTAAACCAGGACTGAACCAGGACTGAACCAGGACTAAACCAGGACTAAACCAGGACTGAACCAGGACTAAACCAGGACTAAACCAGGACTAAACCAGGACTAAACCAGGACTAAACCAGGACTAAACCAGGACTGAACCAGGACTAAACCAGGACTAAACCAGGACTGAAACCAGGACTGAACCAGGACTGAACCAGGACTAAACCAGGACTGAACCAGGACTAAACCAGGACTAAACCAGGACTAAACCAGGACTAAACCAGGACTGAACCAGGACTAGACCAGGACTAAACCAGGACTAAACCAGGTCTAAACCAGGACTAAACCAGGACTAAACCAGGTCTAAACCAGGACTAAACCAGGACTAAACCAGGACTGTGTTGTGCCTTCTGGGTCCTTGGTGAACTTCTGATGTTTGAGGTTATTTTGTTTTGTTTTTTGAGTTTTTCTCTGCACTTTAAATGAAACTGGACACACAGAGACAGAGACAGAACTCAATTCACTGTTTTATTATCACCAACCACCAAAAAACCCGGGACATCCCAGTTTTTTTATTTTGAAACTCTGCTCACTTTGACTGATCTGTTTTTTTACTTGTAGAAAAAGTCACAGTGAAGAGAAAGTGAAAGTGAAAGTGAGTGTGGAGCTTTAATCTTGTAATAAATGTGTTTAAACCCAAACCTCTGAGTCTCTGTGAATCAAACTCCATCACGTCTGAAAGTCACAGTTTATTTTATGTTCATAAATCTCCCTCATGAATTATTCCTTTTCTTATTTGTAAAGTTACAGAACTTATTAATGAACATTTAAAATGTAAATATGTAAAGATTATAACAGCTCTTGTCCATGTTCAGTCCCTCAGTCTCAGGTTCAGGTCAAATCATCCACAGCAGACATGTCAAACTCAGGCCCGGGGGCCAAATTTAACCCGTAATATAATTATATTTGGCCCGTGAGATCAAATCAAACATGTATTAGGGCTGCCCCAGCTGCAGACAGACTACAGAGACATGATTTATTTAAAATGTTATTATTTTATATTTTGCTTATTTTGGATTCATTATTTAAGCAAAACTATTATTAAACATTTATCTGAATAAGAAAAGGTTTAACATCACAGATCTCCAAAGAAGAGAAAACATGCAGATAACGCTGAAATTGTTCAATAAATATTTAGTTTGACCCACGACTTTTACCACAGTTAAATGTGTGTGTAAATGTGTGTAAATGTATGTGTAAATGTGTGTAAATGTGTGTGTAAATGTGTGTAAATGTATGTGTAAATGTGTGTAAATGTGTGTGTAAATGTGTGTAAATGTGTATAATTGTATGTGTAAATGTGTGTGTAAATGTGTGTAAATGTGTGTAAATGTGTGTAAATGTGTGTAAAATGTAAATGTGTGTAAATGTGTGTGTAAATGTGTGTAAATGTGTGTGTAAATGTATGTGTAAATGTGTGTGTAAATGTGTGTAAATGTGTGTGTAAATGTGTGTAAATGTGTGTAAATGTGTGTGTAAATGTGTGTAAATGTGTGTAAATGTGTGTATAATGTATGTGTAAATGTGTGTAAATGTGTGTGTAAATGTGTGTAAATGTGTGTAAAAATGTGTGTGTAAATGTGTGTAAATGTGTGTGTAAATGTGTGTGTAAATGTGTGTGTAAATGTGTGTGTAATGTGTGTAATGTGTGTAAATGTGTAAATGTGTGTGTAAATGTGTGAAATGTAAATGTGTGTAAATGTGTGTAAATGTGTGTAAATGTTTCAGTCTGCTAATATCCACGTCATGAAATTGATTTTATTTTTTTATTTTTTATTTTTTTATATTTCTATGATAACAACACTCGCTACACACACAGTTCATTTCAGACAGTTCATATGAAATTCGAAGTCAAGTTTTAAAAAGTAAAAGAGTTAAACCAACAACTCTCAGTGTAAAAAAGTGTTTTCCTGTTCGTCCGGAAGTCACGTGAGCCGTACAAACTTCACTTTTGTGCCTCGGCGCCTTCACCAAACCTCCGGCTCAAGTGTCGTGTTTTTACCTCAAACTGTCCACAAACTCTGAAAAACCCTACAGACACTGGACCCGAACCGGACCAGGCCAGACCGGTCCCGAACCCGCGGCCTTCAGCGCTCAAGTGTCCGACTTTATCTCCTGGAGCGCGGGGAGGACTGAGCGCGAGCCCCGCTGTTAGCCTGTTAGCCTGTTAGCTCGGCGTTAGCTTAGCTTTAGCCCGTGACGTTGTTGACGCAGGTTCTGTTCGGTGTTTTGTTCGGTGTTTTGTTCGGTGTTCTGTTCGGTGTTCTGTTCCTTTGTTCTGTTCGGTGCGGGTTTTATGTTCACGCGGAGCAGTCGTGATGTTGGACGGAACCACAGCGCACGGTGACAGAAGTGGCACCGGGGACGCGGAGAACAGCGGCCCGGTTCGGACCTGCGGCGGTGATGGAGCGAACCAAACCCGGCTGAAGAAAGAGCGGGGCCGGCGGCTGCACAGACCCGCCTCTGGAGCGCGACTCTCGGACATCAACAACAACCTCCAGCCGCTCTCCTCCGCCCCCTGCTCCGGACCGAACCGAGCCCCGGGACCGGCCGGACCTGAGCCTCCCGGACCGAACCAGGCCGTGCACAGAACCGGCATCCGGAGGGAGGTGAGGCCCGCGGGGTTTAGGTTCTGTCGCTGTGAAGGAGGATTACTGCAGTGATACAAAGAGTACATGAAGTATAAATACTGCAAGATATGTACTGCTAGTACTACTGCAAATATTACTACAAATACTACTACTGCTACTGCAAATATTACTACAAATACTTGTACTTGCACAGTGAAAGTGAAACTGAAGTTCTGTTTTGTTACATCGTGTTCAGACCAGGTTCAGTCCAGGTTCAGACCAGGTTAAGTCCAGGTTAAGTCCAGGTTAAGTCCAGGTTCAGTCCAGGTTCAGTCCAGGTTCAGACCAGGTTCAGACCAGGTTCAGACCAGGTTTAGTCCCTGGAGTTCCGACCCGTTGAGGTTCTTCTGGGTGTTTGGGTTTGTGGGCAGGATGACGTCGCTCTTTGTTTTCTGAGAAACAGAAACTCCACAGAAGCGTCTGCGCTCGTGAAACCAGGAGAATCATTCCAGGTCAAATCTCCGAACGCTCGACCGACTCAGATTTAACTGAACAAAAATTCACAAACTTTCCAACAGGAAAAGTCTCAAATTTTATCTCCCAACTACAAACTGTGTCAAATATTCAGTGTTTTCTTCTGGACATGAATGTTGAACGTCATTAATGGACAAAAAATAATTTTACAAAAATAAGTGAGAAGATCACAAATGTTGGATCTGTTAAAAACACACGTGGAGTTTTTCTAAACTACTAAACTACCTCAAACTAAACTAAACTAGTTTTTCTGTTGTTGGCGTTTCATTTTTTGTAGAACGTGGTAAAGATTCACCACATGTGTTTTCGTCTTCGTCTCTTGTTGTTTGTTCATCACAGAGACTCAGGTTTAAAACACAAAGTCCACAGTGTCACAGTGAAGGTTCATGTTCCATATCAAACCTCCGTCTGTCAAACTTTCCACTTTTTCTTCAAAGACTCACTCAGGTTTGAAGAGAAGAATTTTCAAACAAATTCAAGCCCCAGAAATCAGAGAGAAACCAAAAACTCAAGTGTAAAAGTCCAGATTCTACAAGAACTTTTGACAAATTTAACCCTTGAACATTTGAAGGAGCAACTTTAAATAGTGTTTTAGACACAAAAATCTGAAAACTCCTCAGAACATCTCAGGACAAAATCAACTAAATATTTGTAATGATAAAACTATAAAGAGCTGGAGATAAATGCAGATCAAATCTGGGACTTTTCCTGTTGGAAACTTTGAATCTCCTAAAATATTTTCAGTCAAATCTGGGTCGGTCGAGTGTTCAGAGATTTGACCTGGAATGACCCCGGAGAGGTTCTGTGGGTCTGAGACCAGAACCAGAACCAGGTCTGAGCCTGGTCTGTTTATGATCTGGTTATGATCCTGGTCCGGACCTGGACTCTTCTAATCCCTGTTTGTTATTTTGTTGCAGCTGAAAACCAAAGGAGGAAAAACGGAGCCGCACAGAAACTTAAACAGCCACAAGCCCCGCCCCCATCAGAACTCCCCCCACAGAACCATCCAGAACCTGAACCAGAACCTCCTGCGCTCCTCAGCTCTGGCCCACACTCTGCTGCTGCTCAACCCCCCCCAGGCCCCTCAGGTCTCACGGCCCGGTCAGGAGCCCGGTCCGGATCCCGGTCCAGAACCGGCCTACGCGGGGCCCAAGTTCAGCGAGCCGCCGGCGCCGAGCGTCCTGCCCCGCCCCCCGAGCCACTGGGTCGGCTGCAGCTCCAGAGACGAGATGAGTCTGCAGCTCAAGACCCTGCTCCGAGTCCAAGACCAGGCCTGAACCCGGTCTGGACCGGGTCTGGACCTGGACCGGACCAGGACCACAACTTCAACAGGGACCAACAAGGACTAAACTGGGTCCAAACCAGGACTAAACCAGGACTAAACCAGGACTAAACCAGGACTAAACCAGGACTAAACCAGGACTAAACCAGGACTGAGCTGAGCCACTTTGTTTTTCAAGTGCCCTTGAGACACTCGGGAGAATCTGAGAAGTAAAATACCAAAATCATTTTTGGTAAATTGAAAAAGTGAAGTTTGAACAAAAAACAAAACAAGAATGTTCAGTGTTTACCTTCGTTACCACGGTTACAAGTACTGCTACTTGTACAAGTACTCGAGTACAGCACTTTAGTACTTGAGTACAGTGCTTCAGTACTCGAGTACAGCGCTTCAGTACTCGAGTACAGCGCTTCAGTACTCGAGTACAGCGCTTCAGTACTCGAGTAAAGTACTCATGATGATGGGCCGACACGAGGCGTCGCTTCTGTTATGAGTTCGTCCTGAATTTATTAAAGTGAAAAAATCCGAACAGGATTTAGACTCAGCGCCGAGTCATGTGACGCACACGGACCAATCAGGAGGCGGAGCATCATGACGCACGGACCAATCAGGAGGCGGCGCATCATGACGCACGGACCAATCAGGAGGTGGAGCATCGTGTTGGCGTTGGGGCGTTTCCTCTGAGTTTAACCATGAGGATCAGCACTTCTCTGAGCTGCACTTTTCCCTCGTTTTCCTCTGAGGCACTGAGTTTCTTCAGCACTGACCGCGCGCCGTGCGAGGGCGCGGCGTGGGAGCGGGCGGCGTGGGAGCGGGCGGCGTGCGGAGCGAGCGGCGGCGTGCGAGCGGGCGGCGTGGGAGCGGGCGGCGTGGGAGCGGGCGGCGTGCGAGCGAGCACGTGCGACCGTGCGAGCGGGCGGCGTGCGAGCGGGCGGCGTGCGAGCGGGGGCGGCAGAGTGGTTAGCCTCGTCCTCTGCTCTTGGTCCCGGCGATGACCAGCAGGGGTCACACTTTTAAACACAGACTTTTTTAACATGTAAAAAAAAAACAGTTTTTACTTAAACGCTCCATAAAAGTTTGTTTAAATGGCACTTTTCTAAACCTCTGCCAAGGCACTGGCCCCGTCTCGCAACGGCCCCGACTGAAATATCCAAACCTCCTGATGTGTGAAGATTCTGCACTTCACACACAGACTCACACTCACACACACAGACACACACAGTACACACACACTCACACACACAGACACACACAGGTACACACACACTCACACACACAGACACACACAGGTACACACACACTCACACACACAGACACACACAGGTACACACACACTCACACACACAGACACACACACACACAGACTCACACACTCACTCACACAGACACACTCAGGTACACACACTCACACACACACAGACACACACAGACTCACACACACACGCAGACACACACACACACAGACTCACACACTCACTCACATAGACACACTCAGGTACACACACTCAGGTACACACACTCACACACACACAGACACACAGGTACACACACTCTGTTACATGAGAGTTTTAATCTAATATAATTGACATGATCTTTTAAAAGGACAAAACGCTTCATTCTTAATGAACGTGATGATTTTCAGTTCATCTTAATTCTGAAGTGTTTTATTCTGATTTTAAATCTGAGTGAATTTATTCCTGGATCATGTTTGTCGTTTCTTCTTGTTAAAAATAACGTCGGTGTTTTGGCGCCTGATCGTTGTGTCGCCCCTCGAAACCAGGACTAAACCAGGTCTAAACCAGGACTGAACCAGGTCTAAACCAGGTCTAAACCAGGTCTAAACCAGGTCTAAACCAGGACTAAACCAGGACTAAACCAGGACTAAACCAGGTCTAAACCAGGTCTAAACCAGGTCTAAACCAGGTCTAAACCAGGACTAAACCAGGTCTAAACCAGGTCTAAACCATTAAATAAAAAACATTTCTCCAGTTTAACACAAAACAACAATTCAACTTTATTATTTACACGGAAACAACAACGACAAGATTTGAATTTAACAAAAAAAACCTCATGTAAAAGACCTCGTGTAAACGTGGCCCGAGTCGCTCGGACTAAATCTGAGACTCGACTCAAATTTAAACTTTAAACACAAAAAGACCAAGTGAACAAACGTGTGAACAGAATCTTCACCTCAGGAGGTTTGACTGGTGTTTTTATTTTGACCTCGTATGATTTTTGTGTGTTTGTTTTTTTGTTTTTGTTGTTGTGTTTTTTGTTTTTCAGCTGAATCACTCGAGTCTCCAGTTTTTGTCCTGGTGAAAAAAAAGTTTTTATTTATTCAGACTTTTACCCAAAGCCTCAGAAAGTGGCTCCTCAAGTTAAAGCTGCACTGTGTCACTTTTCTGCTGGAGGGTCCGTTAAACATTTTTCTCCACGGAGATGTTGTTGCTTTGTCTGAAATGTCCCACAGTACGGCATTAAACTACAACGTTCTATCTCCATGGAGACCAAACCAGACCAAGATCCAGGTCAGAGCTGATGATTCAGATCGAGGGATTTTTGACCCTAAAACCTCCTGTAATTAAATAAACGTGAAGTGGAGCTGTTTAAAGTCACACCGTGGAACATTCCAGACGGAGCAGTGACGTCTCCATGGAAACGAGCAGCTGAAGAACCCACAACCGAGAAGTTCCACAGTGCAGCTTTCAGTCATAAACCTGTGTTTGTGGAAATGATGATTCTTAATGTTTTAGTTTTTTTTTTGTGGACAGTTCGGTTCCTTCTGTCTCAGAGTCGTTACTGAAAAAGAGTTTTATTTTTTCTGTAATTTCATAAATAAAAGAAAATTCTATGAAAATATTGGATCTTTAAACATCGTTGTGTGTTTTTTGTTTTTTTTTGGTCAAACTCAGATTCATTAGAACATCATTGAAGAGGGAATGTTCCTCGTCGCAAACTCATCTGAAGAGCTTCGAGAGTCATCCGTGCACGTCTTGAGTCATCTAGTGATCTCTCCCAGGCTGTGTACGAGGCTCCGCCCACAAGCGTACGCCCCCCCCCAGTGCTCCCACACCACAATTCTCCATAAAAACACAAAAACACGACACAAAACTGAACACAGCGACACGACAAACCCGAAGTGACGTTCAGGAGGTTCGTGTGTGTGGGGACAGTGCTCTGAAGGGGGAGGGACTTAGCACCAGGAGCAAAGGGAGGAGAAACTCAGAGCGAGAATATTGTAAGTGAAATCCGTAGTTTTGGGCGAATTTAACATTTTAAAAACAACAAAAAAACTTGGTGATGTAAATATTTGACGTGTTACAGTTAAAACCCACAGAAAAGCCCCAAATAATGAAGTATTTGAGCTGAACTCAGTGTGAAAAATCATCTAAAACTTAAAGATTTTTTATGAACTTTTCTAACGTGAACCATCATCACCGACTTTTACCACAGTCGGTCTTGGAATGTGTAACTTAGTAAATTTAATGAACTGAACAAAACAGGAACCAGACCAGAACCAGATCAGACCTCAGACCCAGACCAGAACCAGAGACCCAGAGACCAGAGATCAGACCTGACCAGAACCCAGAAACCAGACAGATCAGACCTAGAACCAGACCAGAACCAGATCAGACCTGAGACCAGAACCCAGACCTCAGAACCAGATCAGACCTGAGACCAGAGACCAGAACCAGACCTCAGACCTAGAGACACCAGAGACCAGACCAGACCTGAGACCAGAACCAGACCAGAACCAGACCTGAGACCAGAACCAGAACAGGTCCTGACCTAAAGCCCCACGGAATCAAACCCTCACGAAAAACAGAAACAAAAAGATTTATTATTATAAAGAACAGATTTAATCAAAGAAAACTACAGTTCAGTCTCAAAATCACTAAATCAGATGCCCTCCCCTGTCCCTGTGCTGACAGCTGAGGGGGGGGCAGGTAGTGTGTCAGATGCCCCGTCACATGGAGGAGGTCGGGGGTTCTCCTCTCGTTCACTCGGGGGAGGTCGGGGGTTCTCCTCTCGTTCACTCGCGGGAGGTCGGGGGTTCTCCTCTCGTTCACTCGGGGAGGTCGGGGGTTCTCTTCTCGTTCACTCGGGGGAGGTCGGGGGTTCTCCTCTCGTTCACTCGGGGAGGTCGGGGTTCTCTCGTTCACTCGGGGGAGGTCGGGGGTTCTCCTCTCGTTCACTCGGGGGAGGTCGGGGGTTCTCCTCTCGTTCACTCGGGGAAGGTCGGGGGTTCTCGTTCACTCGGGGGAGGTCGGGGGTCACTCTCGGGGTTCGTTCACTCGGGGGAGGTCGGGGGTTCTCTTCTCGTTCACTCGTTCACTCGGGGGAGGTCGGGGGTTCTCTTCTCGTTCACTCGCGGGAGGTCGGGGGTTCTCTTCTCGGTCACTCGGGGAGGTCGGGGGGTTCTCTTCTCGGTCACTCGGGGGAGGTCGGGGGTTCTCTTCTCGTTCACTCGCGGGAGGTCGGGGGTTCTCTTCCCTGCAGCACGTTCATGACGCGGCTGTCCTGAGGCGGCGCGGCGGTGAAAATGGTCCCCACAAACACGTTGGTTCCCCAGAGCGGGTGACGGAGAACCCGGCAGCACCCGAGGTCCTCCACACGGAACCCGAGCGCAGAGTACCGCTCGTCCGTCTCAAACAGGGTCAGGTTTGTGTACGGCCCGTAGAACTGAGGGGAGAAGAGAGTCACAACCAGAACCAGAACCAGGACTAAAGCAGGACCAAGGGCGGGATCACACTTCAACATTCACCACATCAAAACCGGAACTAAACCAGGACTAAACCAGGACTAGAACAGGCCCAAACCAGGTCTCCATCAGAACTAAACCAGGCTCAAACCCAGAACCAAACAAGAGTGAAAACCCCGTCCAAGACCCCAGACCAGGACCACACCAGAACTAAACCAGAATTAAACCAGGAGGACTAAACCAGGTCTAAACCAAGACAATTCCAGGTCTAAACTAAGTCTAAACTGGGTCTAAAGCAGGACTAAAGCAGGACTAAACCAAGTCTAATCCCAGGTCTAAACCAAAGTCTAAACCAAGTCTAAACTGGGTCTAAACCAGGTCTAAACCAGGTCTAAGACCAGGTCTAAGACCAGGTCTAAACCAGGTCTAAAGTCTAAAGCCAGGTCTAAACCCAGGTCTAAACCCGGTCTAACCTCCAGTGTAAGTGCAGACGGGAGCAGGACCCACGGGCAGACCGGAGGACGGGTCGATGAAGTCGGCCCAGTGTCCCTCGCGGTGGAGTTCGGTGCAGATCTGTTTGGCTCCGGTGATGAACCTGGACAGAAGCTCGTCTCGCTCCTGCTCCACCCGAGCGTCCCAGCGCGTCATGTCCAACACCGAGCGCTGCGCCACCGTCACCACCGTCACGGCGACGGCGGGCGGAGCCTCGGGGAACATCAACCGCACGTCTGAACACACACACACACACACAAATAAACACATACACACAAACACAAATAAACACATACACACGAACACAGAGACACACACACACGACTTTAGAGCTTTAAAAAACTCAAGTTGTGGCACAAACAGAATCTCTGTGTTTAATATTCAAGTGATTATTAAAGTGTTAAATGTTCAATAATCAAGTGTGTGTGTGTGTCTCAGTGTGTGTGTATCTCAGTGTGTGTCTGTGTGTATGTATCTCAGTGTGTGTCTGTGTGTATGTATCTCAGTGTGTGTGTGTGTACCTGTGATGAGGCGTTGAGGACATGGTTGTACTGCACACTCCACCGACACCGAGTCAAAAAACCTGTCGTCCTCCTGCAACGACACAACAACATCATCAACATCATCCTCCTCTGTTCCTCTCCTCCTCTGTTCCTCTCCTCCTCTGTTCCTCTCCTCTTCTCTCCTCTGTTCCTCTCCTCCTCTCCTCTGTTCCTCTCCTCTCTCTTCCTCTGTTCCTCTCCTCCTCTGTTCCTCTCCTCCTCTGTTCCTCTCCTCCTCTGTTCCTCTCCTCCTCTCCTCCTCTGTTCCTCTGTTCCTCTCCTCCTCTGTTCCTCTCCTCCTCTGTTCCTCTCCTCCTCTGTTCCTCTGTTCCTCTCCTCTGTTCCTCTGTTCCTCTCCTCCTCTGTTCCTCTCCTCCTCTGTTCCTCTCCTCCTCTGTTCCTCTCCTCTGTTCCTCTGTTCCTCTCCTCTTCTGTTCCTCTGTTCCTCACCTCTCTTCCTCTGCTGCTCTCCTCTGCACAGAGCTGGCGCGGCGTGCTGTGGTCACCAGGAGGCGCTGTGGTCAGGGCGTGGAGGTGCTGGTCCATGGGGGTGAGGAGGAGGACGGGGTCTGTGCTCCTGCAGGGGGCAGCGACAGGGGCAGCGACAGGAGCAGCGGCAGGAGCAGCGACAGGGGCAGCGTCTCTGGACCTGACGGAGCGCTGCACTGAAACACACACACAACAACAACGAGGATGAAGAGCTGTGTGTCTGGGCCGTGTCCTCGTCACACTGTCACAGTTTATTTGTACAAACAGGATCCAGACTCTGGTGTTTGAGCAGAACAATAATGATAATAATAATAATGATGATAATAATAATGATAATGATAATAATAATAATGATAATAATAATAATAATGATAATAATAATAATAATAATAATAATAATAATAATAATAATAATAATGATAATGATAATAATAATAATAATAATAATGTGAGTTTTACTGAAGTCTCACGTCTCTACTTTGTACAACAACATTTATGAACATTTTAAATAAACTGTTTCCACACAGACACAGATTTATCTGTGACACTTCACCCTGACCTCACATCAGTTACCACGACAACCGAGGCTCTGAGCATGCTCAGTGTGAACTACAGGAAAAGGAAATGAGACAAGGAAATATTAAAGATGCACCAGTGTTGGAGGAGGAGGAGTACTGTAATACCTGTAGTACTGTAGTACTGTAGTACTGTAGTACTGTAGTACCTGTAGTACTGTAGTACTGTAGTATTTGTAGTACCTGTAGTATTTGTAGTACCTGTAGTATTTGTAGTACCTGTAGTATTTGTAGTACCTGTAGTAGTACCTGTAGTACTGTAGTACCTGTAGTACTGTAGTACCTGTAGTATTTGTAGTACCTGTAGTATTTGTAGTACCTGTAGTACTTGTAGTACCTGTAGTATTTGTAGTACCTGTAGTATTTGTAGTACCTGTAGTATTTGTAGTACCTGTAGTACTTGTAGTACCTGTAGTATTTGTAGTACCTGTAGTACTGTAGTACCTGTAGTACCTGTAGTATTTGTAGTACTGTAGTATTTGTAGTACCTGTAGTACTTGTAGTACCTGTAGTACTGTAGTACCTGTAGTATTTGTAGTACCTGTAGTATTTGTAGTACCTGTAGTATTTGTAGTACTGTAGTACCTGTAGTACTGTAGTATTGTAGTACCTGTAGTATTTGTAGTACCTGTAGTATTTGTAGTACCTGTAGTATTTGTAGTACCTGTAGTATTTGTAGTACCTGTAGTATTTGTAGTACTGTAGTACTGTAGTACTGTAGTATTTGTAGTACCTGTAGTATTTGTAGTACCTGTAGTATTTGTAGTACCTGTAGTACTGTAGTACCTGTAGTATTGTAGTACCTGTAGTACCTGTAGTATTTGTAGTACCTGTAGTATTTGTAGTACCTGTAGTACCTGTAGTACCTGTAGTAGTACCTGTAGTATTGTAGTACCTGTAGTATTTGTAGTACCTGTAGTATTTGTAGTACCTGTAGTATTTGTAGTACCTGTAGTACTGTAGTACCTGTAGTATTTGTAGTACCTGTAGTACTGTAGTATTTGTAGTACTGTAGTATTTGTAGTACCTGTAGTATTTGTAGTACCTGTGTTGGCTGTGGCTGAAATGGTTCGAGCTGAAGTCACTCGATGAAGAAGAGACTTGAGTCCAGAAACGTACAAGACCAACCTGGACCCACAGACCTGAAAGAGACCAGGACCAGGACTAGAACTAGACCAGGACCAGGACTAGAACTAGACCAGGACCAGACCAGGACTAGAACTAGACCAGGACCAGACCAGGACTAGAACTAGACCAGGACCAGACCAGGACTAGAACTAGACCAGGACCAGACCAGGACTAGAACTAGACTGAACAGAGGCCTAAACCAGGACTTACACTTGTCATCTTGGCGTTTCTCTTTGTCGACTTCAGCTAAAACTGAAAAAGAAAAAAAAGGTTTATTTGATTGATTTGATTTGACAGTTTCTTGTTGTTTTTTTTAAATTATCACAGAAAACCTCCTGATCTCTCCTCGTGTTTTAATATAAATACTATTTATAAATATCATCTGAACTGTAAAGGTTTAAAGCTGCACTGTGGAACCTGCATGGAGACGATAACACTTCACTTCTCCACAGATCTGACCTGTAACCTGGAGCCACCTGCTCTTTATGGACATAAAAGGCAAAGAATATCCTCTCCACTAGAGAAAAGTGACATAATGCAGCTTTATGCTCAACATAAATCAAAGTGCACAGGTTTATTCCAGGTTTACTCCAGTTTTACTCCAGTTTTCTCACAGTTTTGTTGTAAACCGAGTTCAAACAGAGTAAAACTGAGTTATTTTAATAGATCCATGAGTTCACCTCAGTCTGACCTGTTAGCCGTTAGCCTGTTAGCTCCCGCTCCAAGGTTCAGGCTCGTGCGTGAGTTGGGTGCGTGATTAAGTGTCCGTGTGCGGGGAGCTCCCGCGTCAGGCCGCGCTCCGGGGGTCAGGACCTTTTAACCTCTCCTCTGAGCAAAGACAAAGGTTTAAAACGGGTTTAAATGAGTCTGAACCGAGTCACGCTGACGCAGAGGACGCGTCTGCAGCCACAACACACACACTGCGCATGCGCATGGGGGCGCGAGCGGGTCACGTGAGCCACAGCGAGAGACTCAGAACTATAATAAAATCAGTTTAATAAATATAATAATTAATAAATGTAATAAATATAAATATCATATAATACATCTAATAAAATAAATATAATCGTTTTTATTTTATTTTATTAAATTTAGAAGAATTTCAATTTTTCATATGTTCATATGGAAATCTGACACTAAACTTTTGAATTTAAATAATAAAATAAAAGTTTTTATTACAGACCCATGAGGAGACTAAACCAAACTAAACTAAACTAAACTAAACTAAACCAAACTAAACTAAACTAAACTAAAAATAAACTAAACTAAACTAAACCAAACTAAACTAAACTAAAACTAAACCAAGCTAAACTAAACTAAACTAAACTAAAAATAAACTAAACTAAAACTAAACCAAACTAAACTAAAACTAAACTAACCTAAACTGAAACTAAACTAAACTAAAAATAAACTAAACTAAACTAAAACTAAACCAAGCTAAACTAAACTAAACTAAAAATAAACTAAACTAAAATTAAATCAAACTAAACTAAACTAAAACTATAAATACACGTAAAATATACAAATATAAATACACATAAATAATTTAAGGTTATTATTTCATTAATATTATTCTTTCTTTCTCCCGCCCCTCAGCCCGGTGACCCCTGACCCTGTGTGCGGTTTGTTTTGGTCCGGTTTGTCTCGGTTCGTCTCGGTTCGTCTCGGTTTGTGTGGGACATGTCGGCGGCGGAGGACGACACGGAGCTGCGGGACCTGCTGCTCCAGAACCTGGAGAACAGCGGCGTGCTGAGCCGCCTCAAGGTGCGGAGGATAAACCGGGACCGGAGCCGGGGCCGGGGCTACTTCCACGGGCTAAACCGGAGCTAACCGGAGCTAACAGGCTAGGGAAATGCTAAAGCTAAACGTGCTGAAATAATAAAACAAACTGAAATAACGAAGCTCAAAGTGTCACAAAACATTAATGAGAGTGACCACGAGCACTTCCGCTTTTAAAAACAATGTCATTATGAACTGAAGAACTTAAATTGCTTCATGTTCGCGCAGATTCGGAGCTAAATTATGCTAACGGAGCTACAGATGGAGGCAACTTCTACTAAAGCAAAGAGTCCAGAGACGTTCCTGTGTCCCGGGACAGTCCCTGTCCTGAGTCTGTGTCCCCTGTCCCTGCAGATTTATACAAAACCACTGATTTACACCAGTTTAGTCCTGGTTTAGTCCTGGTTTAGTCCTGGTTTAGTCCTGGTTTAGTCCTGTTTTAGTCCTGGTTTAATCCTGGTTTAGTCCTTGTTTTAGTCCTGGTTTTAGTCCTGGTTTAGTCCTGGTTTAGTCCTGGTTTTGTCCTTGTTTAGTCCTGGTTTTGTCCTGGTTTAGACCTGGTTTAGTCCTGGTTTAGTCCTGGTTTTGTCCTTGTTTAGTCCTGGTTTAGACCTGGTTTAGTTCCAGTTTAGTTTAGTTATAATAATATAATTCTATACACTACTATTCCAGTCAGAGACCAGACCATTGGTCCAGTTTTTGGGGATCTGGGTCCTGGTCTGGTTCTGGTTCTGGTTCTGGTTGTGACTGGTTGTCGGTTCTGTTCCAGGCACAGATGAGGGCGGCCGTGTTTCTGGCGATGGAGGAGCAAGGATCGAGTCGAGGTTTGACTCACGACAACTTTACAACTTTACAACTCAATTTATATTATTCACAATAAAAGTCTGTGCTCTTTCACAATAAAAGTGTGTGCTCTTTCAGAATAAAGCTCCTCTGGTGAACGAGAACCTGAAGAACTGTCTGAACACCAGAGACGGTACAAGCACACAACACACACACACACACACACACTTCTCTTTCTTCTGTCTCTCCCCTATTTCTCTCACACTCTCTCTCTTTTTCTGTCCCTTTCTCTCCCTCTTTCCTCTCTCTTCCGTCTCTCCTCCCTCTCCCCTCTCCCTCCCTTGTCTCTTTCTCTCCTTGTTTCTTCTCCCCTGACCTCTTCTCCTTCTTTCTCCTTCTCTCTTCTCTTCTCCTCTTCTCATCTCTGTGTTCTGGTCCCTCAGGTCGTGTGGTGGCGTCTCTGGTTCTGGATTTCCTGCAGGT